TCACCGTCCTGCTCGTCTTTTAACCTTAAATGGTATTTCGTTTTCGTGTTAAACGTAATATTGGGAAGTGAACACCTCCGGTGAAGACAAGGGCAACTGGAATGGCAATTTCGGGCTCACTAGCCGTCATCAGCCGGCCATACCCAACCCCGAGTGGATCACCACCCGGAGCTCGAACCCGCAATCTGTTGATCCGAGGTCCGACTCCTTTACTCCTAGTGCAATGGTTAGAGCGTCGGAGTTCTGATCGACATGTTATGGGTTCGAGTATCAGGTGGTGGACTACTTGGGATGATGTCGGTTAGTGAGCCAGAAATGGCCTCTCCCGTCTCCCTTGTCTTCACCGGCAATGTTCATCTGCCTACAACCGTTGTGTGGGGTTCGAAAATGAGACTCAAGTCAGAACTGGATTACTGAGTTCCGTTACTGATCGATGAGCTTTCGTGAATTAATACTGCACTGTTGTATTCTGGTTTCTAGAGCAGTATACCCATTCCTGTTGCTTTTTGATTGGACTATGTCACTTTTATGAGTCTAGTTACTTCACATTTTATCATTGCTTCGGCCAAACTTTTTCCGCTTGTACTCTACTGCCGCACTTTTCTTTCTCGCCACCGAACGTGGGACATTACGGTCGCTTTCGTCTGCACCTGGTTTAGGATGGACGTATTGGCACTGCCTAAGATGAAACCCGTTTTACAACTTGCCATATCATCGTCCCCTTTGAATCGCCAAGGCGGAATCGCATAAGGCGAAATAGTATTTATTTGAAATTCCCTGTTGCAGTCGATCAACTGTTTTTGTTTGTTAATTTCGTTTTAATTTTCTCCAAAATAAGCATCAAAGACGGTCTTCAAAGTAAATAGCAAGAAGTACTCACTGACAAGTGTTCTTCACAGGTCCGAGGCTTTGATCATTTTACCAGAAACTTACTTTACCCGTCTTTGGGCAGGGCAATTTCTTGTGCACTCCTTTCTTTTATTACCCCTGCTCGCGAAACCCCTCAACTCTATGAATCGTGTCCGTGTGCAAGTTATAAACCCTTTTTCGACTTCATCGGGAGCCCATCCATTTCGTTGCGAGCTAGAGCATTAAATCAACTTCTGACTCTTCTACTCCAACAAATGAAAGAACCTAAAAGTTGACCTAGTTTTGAGTTCAGAACTACAAAGTTGTTTGAGGTGTAGCGTTGTTGCTCCTATTATCTCGGGCGTTTGGCAAGGGAGATTGATAGCACTAGTCCTCGCAACGCTGTTGGTTTACTTCCTATTAACCCACATCCTAACTGCCATTTTGCCTCTTTTACTAAAAGGATCCACAACAAATCCGTGTATTTCAAAATGGGCCTACGAAAGATGGTGAACCAACAAACCAAGTGTAAGGACCTCCATCAGAACGTAGTCATTGAGGTGGACGGAAAGCAGTTGGACCTGCCGCCAATCGAGGGCATCATTATTCTCAATATCCTATCCTGGGGCGCCGGCGCGAACCCCTGGGGTGTGGAGAAGGACGAAGCCTTTTCGAAACCTACTCACTACGATGGCCTACTAGAAGTAGTTGGCGTCACCGGTGTGGTGCACATGGGGCAGATTTTTTCTGGGCTTCGGACAGGAACACGTCTGGCTCAGGGTGGACACGTACGTTAACATTTTCCCTTTTTCCATTCTTCCTAACAAATAAAGACTGAAACGGCAAAAAGTAGTTTCAATAATGGACTCTATGTACCCTAAGTCATAGTATTCTGTCTTAGGGGACCGGTGTTGCTAGGGGTTTCGTGGGTGGAGAAATCGGATAGGCAGTGGAGGAAATTTTTAGAAGTAAGTGTAAATCAGTAAAATATGTTTGAATTTGTTTACCGTGGAACGCGTAAATAGGAAAAAAGGTAAAAGAAGCTCATGTAGGCCCCCTCATATACCCCTCGTCCCAGCATGTTGTCCTGCAAAAAGGGTGGTTTTAGAGCTTTGGGGTGGGGAAATAGGATAGGCAGAGAGGGACATTTTTAGAAGTAAGTGTAAAGTGAAAAAATGTAGTCGAAATTTCTGCCCGCGGCCGCTCGAAGCAGATTGTTCCGCATGTAAATTGAAGGAGTGCGCGGCGCTTAGCGCCGCGGACTATACTTATCTAACTCCAGGACGGTAAGTTGGACCTCAGATAAGTTGAGGTGGACGACCTCCTAACCAACATTTCAATTTTCTGGGAAATTCAAGAAACCTGCAATTTGATAATCGGGTTTTTCCGTAATAAGTT